GGGAGTGGGGATGGGGGTGGGAGGAGCAGCCTGGGGCAGTGGGAGCCAGGGTCGGGGAGGGCACTCCGGCAAAAGAGGGTGTCACGGTGCGTTTTCGGGCAACAGTTCGGTTCCGGGTGAGCTACAGACACGTACAGGGGCATTTGGAGCGTTTGGGACTCACACGTCGAAGCAGTGCGCCGCCGACAGCAGCCACCTCTCTGCCACCAGCACGGCCCCGCAGCGGTGTTCCCGGCGCCGCAGCCACAGGCTCACCTGCCACGGCCACTCCCCGCGGCCCGCTGCGCTGCCGCCCACAATCCTGCTGAGCGCCGCCGGCGCCAGGCCGCAGTCTGCGGAGGGAGCCAGGCGCATGGGCAGGTGGACCCAGGGCGCCTCCTCCACGAAGCCCCCCAGAGCGCCGCCCGTCCGTGAATTCCCTTGGGAGCCCCGGATGCGAGGGCGGACCTGCCCCAGGAAAACTCGGCAGGAAAGGACGCTGGGCCTGCTGCTTGGTCTTTGGGCTTTTCTCAGATAACATTGGAAATGCATTTGTTTCCTGTGACTTCAGCTTTGGGACCACACCTTCTCCCCTGCCGGGGGCCAGGCCGAAAGCCCCTCTCATGGCAGCCTCCCACATCTCCGTCCTCCAGGAGTTCCCTCCCACCCCAAGGCCTTTGCACATACCAGGACCCTGACCCAGAGACCCCAGCCCTGCCTTGGCACTCTGCCTGGATCCCTGATGGCCTCCGAGCCCTCCCCAGACGGTGCCAAGTGCAAAGGCCTTCCTCAGAACACAGCTGTGGAAAGAATACATGGGGTGGTTGCCGGGGGGCTTCAGGGACCCCGTTACCACCCATGGAGGGGACCCGTACCCACCTGCTGTCTCCAGAGGTCCGTTTTCCTCCTCAGGGGCGAGCCCCCCTCCCCGCCCTCTGTCACCACCCAGCTGGCTTCCCTGGGTGCCCCCTTCCCCCTGTGCCACCCGCAGCAGATACCAAGGTCGGCAAGGGGAAGTGCCAGTTCCCCACCAGGCAGGGCACCATCTGGCCCTGACCCAAGACCAGGTGGCCTTGGAGAATCTGACAGCAGCCGCAGCCCCTGTCCTTGGGAATGACAGCTGCCTCCACACAGAACCCGCCTGTATTTCAAGGCGGGGCTTCTCCACCTCTTTTGGACCCAAGGAGGTGGGCCCTGGGAAGGCCATAGCTATTGAAAAAGGAAAAATCAGCTCAGACTGAGAAAGTGACAGCCCCCAGGCTGCGGGGACAGACCCACATGAGGGCAGCTGCCAGGTTCACAGGAAACACTCACCCAAGGACTTGGCGCTGCTGCGAACCATCAAAGCCCCTGCTTTCATTGTATTTTTATTTTTTTAGAGACGGGCTGTGTCACCCAGGCTGAAGTATAATGGTGTGATCTCGGTACACTGCAGCCTCTGCTTCCTGAGCTCAAATAATTCTCCTGTCTCAGCCTACCCAGTAGCTGGAACCACAGGCGTGCACCATCACACCTGGTTTTATTATTATTATTGAGATGGGAGTCTCGCTCTGTCACCCAGGCTGGAGTGCAATGACACAATCTAGGCTCATTGCAACCTCTGCCTCCTGGGTTCAAGCGATTCTCCTGCCTCAGCCTCCCGAGTAGCAGGGATTACAGGCGCCCACCACCACGCCCAGCTAACTTTTTTTTTTTTTTGGTAGAGATGGGGTTTCACTATGTTGGCCAGGCTGATCTGGAACTCCTGACCTCAGGCGATCCACCCACCTTGGCCTCCCAAAGTGCTGGGATTATAGGCGTGAGCTACTGCGCCCGGCCAGAGAGGATGTTCTGTCTTGTTTGGCAGCCCGGGCTGATTAACGTGGTACCCTCCACTCCCAGGGGTCCCTCCGTCTCTCCCGGTACCTGGTAGCTGGGAGTGCGTGGTGGCCTCCAGGGCACCTGGAAATGGCATCTGTCCCCTAGCAGTGGTGCTCATGGCAGATAAGGCTGAGTTGGCAGGTTGGCCCGTCACCCTGCTGGTGGCCCCAGGGGTGGGTCTGCTGGGTGTGGCCCCCAGGACCGTGAGGCCAGCTGTCGTCCTGGGGGGATGGCTGGTGGTGGCCAGTGTCCTTGTGGTCGAGGGGGTAGACATGGGAAGGGGCTGGGAGGACATGATCTCCAGGATCCAGCCCTTTAGCCTGGTGATGCGCGTGTAGACGCCCGGCTTCTTAACCTGAGCGCAGCCAATACCCCAGCTCACGATCCCTGCCAGATAAAACACGCCGGGGGCCTCCTCGCAGGCCAGGGGGCCCCCAGAGTCACCCTAGAAAGGAAGGAAAGAGCACTGGTTGGTCCTCCAGGGACCCTCTCTTCCCGGCACTGCCATAGCCTCCTGCGTTCCCACAGTGGGTGGGCCCCGTCGAGGGC